GTCCCCGCATGGCAAGCAGAGCACATCCCAGCCTTCCAATTCTTTTCCTTTTATCTGTGATTTTTTTGTCCCTGTCACTGGAACTTCTGGTCCGCCTGTCCCCGCACGTCCGCCAGCCGCGTCCGCACCCCTCCCCACCCTCTCCTCTGGTCTCCACCCCTTCCTTTTCCTGTAGCCCTCCCCTTTTTCCGTTCGTCCTGCACCAACATTGCGCACGCTCAGCACTCACCCGTGGACTACTAGCGTTCTATTAGATTCACTTCTTGAAGCCGTCATCACTGTGGAACGTTAAACGTTCGAAACAAAAGCAGCCGTGTTGATCCAAAAAATAAGGCCTCCTTTGTCCAAAGATGTTCGTTCAATTCAGTGAAACTAGTCTTTTCTATTTTAAAGCAATATCTTTGATACAAAGACAAACAGCAAAACTGTTTTTCTTTTAATTTAAGGTCGTTTTTTCAATTTGTGTCAAAAATATCAAAGAAACAACGCAGTGCTGAAACTACACAATGTTTCGTATTCGCACTTTGTTGAAAAATAGAAAACTAATCACGCAAATTTCGTAAAATCGTACTGTGGTTTATGGGCCGCATTGAACCACGCACACACGCAACACAGCAGTAATTTATTTCAAAAGGATGTTAAAAATTAAAAACGAAAGAAGAAACTGTTGAAACTTATTTAAACTTTATTATCTTCTTTATGTGATACTTTCTGGAAAAACGCATAGTTTAATGTCCCATTCAGCACATCAAGAATTAATCCCCTCTGACATACCGACAGTTCGTAGTCGATAGGGCTCAATTCTTTTTGCGGTGATAGTAAAACATTTCAAAACTCACGCAGTCTGAACGGTGCTCCCAAATTGATCAGAAATAGGTGATCTGCTTTGACGTCGTGTTCCTTGCAGTACCGGTATACTTGCGCATTAGGACGAAGGCACCGTGTCTATAGGGATCAACCCGTGGCTTCACTAGCCGACGGCCAGGTTCTGAACTGATCCATCACTGTGCACATCACCTTCAACGCTACGTAGAACTTCAAGCCAACTTCTCTTCATCTACCTACATCTCGCCGAGGGATTTCAGCCCACGGGATCAGCCCGCGGAAACCCATTTCATCCTTCCATCGTCGTGCGGGTGTCTGGCAAGATTATCTACTTAGGAACACGACTGGTGAGTTCAGTTTTATGACGTTTTAAAGTCATTTAAACTTCCAATGATCATATTGTGGAAATTTTTGTCTGATGACCACGATATTCTTGAAGCTATTTTGATTTATATATTGGGGGCTGTGAATCCCTCTTGCAAATTTCGTATTTGTATAGTTGAGAGACTCGAAAGACTTTAGTTGACAACCTCTATTGATCTTTAGGTAGTCAACAGATGCACCACCCTTAATTTCGTCTACATGCAGTCACAAACTCGATCCTTCATAGGGCCATCTTAGTATCGGAGGCGACATACGAGACCTTTCTGGGGAGGAATCGTCGAGCAATGCAATTCGTGGACACGGAAACAAATCAGGCGCTTAGCGGCAGAGAGGGAACTGGGAGCGAACCATCGACCTACCGCCCACCAGCCCGCTACCAGAGGCGAGCACTGAACAGACATCACATCCGCTGCGGCCCTGCCCGCGCTTGCCAAAGAACTTCATTGCGCTCTGCTGGTGTCGGCGCCGGATTGAGATGGCGAAGTTCTTTGGCGAACGTGTGATTTTGGGGGATTTGGTAAAGTTTGACAAACTTCACACTGACGATAACTCAGCACCTGTTTTCCACCCCCTCGCTCGCATCCCCGATTAGATGAACTAGCTTGGCACCGACAGGTGGCGAGATGGGGGATGGAAGGGCAGACTTAATTGTGTCACTCTGAAGCTCTAGCGTGGCGTAGCGCTGCGCGCTAGGCGTTACTCCCCGCGTAACGTCAGCCTCAGCCACCCTGACAACCGCCCGTCGCCCTTTTCCTAACGTGTAAAATAAAAAAGGTTGCAATATTTTGTTAATGAGTTTTTTTAGAGGGAATCATCCTGCTTTTAGACGACTGTCCCTTTCTTATAGCTGGCTGTCTTTACTCGAAGTAAAAAGTTGCATGTTTTGTTGAAAAAAACGACGGTTTGCGTTTCAGTTTTGATAATTTCTTTTTCCGAAATACGGCAAGTTATTGTTTCTAAACTAGGTACAAGAGCTGCTGGTCTTCCTGGCCTTTCTCGAGGTTACCGCAGGCAGGAGGTACTCGGTGGTAGAATTACCGCTCTTCCGTCGTGATCTTTCTTTTTGATTAAGTAATGTCGCACCGTGTCGTCCCGCCCCGCATCCAGCGGCAGCGCCCCGAGGACGCTCGCCCGCTCGCCCTCGCCGCCTCTAAACGGAACGGAAAACTGTTGTCGGCTGGATGGGAAACTCCGCCCGCTCTACTTTGTTGTGAGCGAAAACAGTAATTAACCAGACTTACTTCTCCCGCTCCGAGCCGTGGCGGGGCGTGGCGGTAGGGCGTAGCGGGGCGGGGCGGCGCGGGGCGGCGCGGCGCGGGGCGTGGCGCGCACCCCCCGGCCCGCCCGGGTCTGACCTGACTCCGGCTCTGGCTCCCGATGCAGCTTCAGAGGGGGTGGGGGGTGGCTACGCCGGGCTACGCTCTGGGCCGTGGTGGGGCAGTGGGTGCACGAGCGCCACGGCCGCGAGGCGAGGTAAGAGGCAAGGTGTTAAGGGTGTGTCTGCCTCTTCGCTGGAAAAAAATGAAACAGGGGGGGGGGGGCCGTACAGCGACGTCCTTCCCTGTGTCATTCCCAGCTCGCATCAAGCAGGTGCCAGTGACATGCATCAAGGTGTTGCGCTGCTTTTAGTAATACTTTAAAAGGTTGGGATTCAACAGGTTCGATAAGATGCCAATAACACCACGCTGCCACAAAAGACTTGGCGAGGCTCTACGATAAAGCGGGAAGGGAAGGACAAGGACAGCCCCTGGCTCTTTCCAATGCCATCAAATCACCACGTACACAACATCGCAATGCACTTCTTATTTATTTTTATTTGATAGACTTAGACTAGGTCCTTGAACACTGTAAGAAACGCGTTAAAGTTAAAGATGGTTGGTATTTAAGAAATGTGTTTTCTAGAAAGAAAATGAGGAATCAGAATGAGAGAGCACTGCAGACAGAGAGGGAGACAGGGACAGAGGGGAGGAAGAGAGAGAGAGGGGGAGGGAGGGTGAGGGAGAGAGCGAGCGAGCGAGAGCGAAAGAGAAAGGAGGTAAGGGTGGAAGAGAGAGGGAGAGAGATGAACCGTCGATCGGCGCGGGGCGCGACGCCAACGCTATCTGTGTACGAAAAGGGGCACTTCCGCGGGAGGAGGGCTGGGCTGTGGCGCTAGCTGCGCTCGGCTCGGCTCGGCTCGACGCCATGGCCGGCAGGGCCGAGGCGAGGCGCACTTCGCCGCACTGCGACTGCGTCGCGATGCCGGCCCAGGGCTGCCCGGGACGCCGCGCGGGGGAGGGGGTGGGGCGAGGAGCCGGGCCGGGCTGGCGGGGCTGGCAGCCGGGCGGGCAGCCGGGCGGGCAGGCAGCCGCAGGCTCTCTCTCTCCTCAGTTGACGTCCCAGGCGCGCCTCGCTCGGGTCGTGTCGTGCCTTTCGCCTCCCGCCCAACCCGCTTCCGCCGTCTCTTTCTCTCTGTTCCTCTCCGCTCATCTCTCTCTATCTCTCTCTCCCAGAGCCGCTGGCCTGCCGTGCCCGTGTGAGTCGTGTCCGTCACGCGCTTCGCTTTCGCCTCGCCGCGCCGCGCGCAGCCGCGTGCTGGTCACGCGCGCTTGTTGAAGGGAGTCTGAGGCTCGGTCCGAGATGGGCGCCAAGGAGAGCATGCTCATGGAGCGCAGGCACCCGCAGCGCCAGTCGCTAAACCAGGACCGCCAGCAGGGCCTGCAAGGCCAGCAGCAGGTACGTCGCGGTGGTGCCGAGGCCAGGGCCGAGGCCAGGGCCAGGGTCGCCGCGGCGCAGTCCTGGCCGGTGGGCGTCTGCCCCGCTGTCGGTCCAACCTGTCCGTCTTCGTGGCTCAGCGGACCTGTCAGACAGCGTCGCCGCCGACAAGGCTGGGGGAGGGCCCCGGCCTACAACATCCGCGCTGCACCGGCGCCACGCCACGCCACACCACGCCAAGCCACGCCACGCCACGCCCTGCCGCTCTGGTCCAGAACACCCTTCTGCGCACACAGCCTGCGGGTCCCTGATGAGAGTTGTGATCTTTAAAGTTGACCCCCTTTTCTTGTCACGCCGCCCCTTTCCACCCCACACGCTACTCCGTGTCGATCGGGCCGCCTAAGGCCCGGCCCCTCTTCGTCCCGCCCCCGCGCTGCCCCCGCGCAGCCCCCGCGCCGCCCCCCACATCTCGTCGCCACGCTACGCCACACCCAGTGGCCGCGGAGGTGCGTTGCGGGATGAAAGCAGGAACAAAAGCAGCTGCGAGCAGCTTTCCTCAATGGCGCTGCTGTGTCCGCCCCACCCCGGCCGCCCGGGGAGGTCGAAGGTCATCATGCTGGTGGCATTCCTGCTCGACGCCTCCTCTCCGCCCCCTCTTCGCCTCTCTCCGCCCCCTTTCTACCCCCTCTCTGCCCC